TAGCACGCGCAATGAGCACTTGAATCAGCGCTGTGGCGGCGCCATTGGCAATGAGAGGAGAAATACACGGATGATTTAAGGAAAAAGGAAGAGGAAGGAAAAGAAAGCCAGGGCGACAAGTCGGTATAAAGATTGCTGCCTTCCGAAAACTTGAGCTGAATGTTGCCCCGCAGTGAAAAGACGGGAGGTGTTTGATCAAAGGCAACGACGCATAACTGAAAGGAGACAGAAATGAACAGGTGTCAGATATCCCTTGGACGGAGATGCCACCTTGTGATTGAGATCAAAAAGATGTAAACATGTCATAGAATTCTAGCGGGTGATCTCAAGCTTCCATCGGGTTCTAATAGAATGTCTCTGGCAGGGCGTGGGGGCATGCAGCTCTTGGCGAAAGAATTGAATGTCTTTTGGGTAGAGTATGAGGCTCTACATTAAGGGAAATCCATAAATAGACGTAAGGAAGAAGTAGACAAAGACTTGGCCTTGGGATAGAGTCATTCGATGCCAAGCCGAGGGCGGCGAGTCATCCGTTTCCAAACCCATGGACTTGGCGGGCCTCGGAGGTGGATATGTGAGGGAAGGCCATAACTATTCACTCAATGTAGCTATCCATATGTGTACAAATAAATCGCATGAAAGGTACCTCTCCTATCTGAAATATGAAGCAAAAAACAAGAGACACCTAGGGATACCTAGGTAATTATTTAGACATGGCCTCGACCCTTGTGACCAATCAGATCACCCCCCGACTCTTTCTTCCAATTTAGCTTATCTTATCACACGTGACTGTCACGCGTAAACGTCCCCAGGTCACGTCGAGAGCGCGACAGCGCGACTTTCACAAGGAGTTGCCGCTCAACACATTCTCAAGTTTACGAGTCCATTTTCACCCCATATTGTTTCCATCACCAAATTGACTGCGACTACGTGAACCTTAGTCTGGGAGTTACCGTCATGCCTGAAGCTATCATCGCTGCCCAGAAGCGGGTGCTGGGCGACGCGGCCAATAATTCCAACGGTATCTTGAAATCTCCTAGCGGTCCCAAAAAGCGGAAACTCGACAATGAACCATCTGTGCAATTTACGCCATCCTCGCAGATCGCTCGGCGAAAGATCGGCTCGACTCAACCACAGAAGAGTCAATTCGAGGAGGAGGTACTCGAAAAATTGACGCAGGATATTGGCGACTTGAAGGAGCACAACTCGGAGAAGGACCAACAATGGGAGCGCCCCCCTCTTGGTGACTTCGATGCAGCCAAGGAAAATATCTGTTTCCAACAGATTGACGCGGAAGAAGCAACCCTAATGGGAAAGCCGGCCATTCGGCTTTTCGGTGTCACCGAGGTAAATATATTTGCCATTCTCGGGGTTTTCATATCTAACGAGATTCATAGGCTGGACAATCGGTATGCCTTCATGTCACTGGCTTTGAACATTACCTCTACATCGCCGCTCCTGTCAACTTCACCAAAGCGGATTGCGACCCTTACAAGCATTTCCTAGAGCAAAAGCTAGGCCAGAGCTTCACGGCAATCTCGTCTGTGCAGCTCACAATGCGCGAAAATATCTACGGATTTCAAGGAAACCAAAAGAGTTATTATATTAAGATTACGGTTACTGAGCCAAAATTGGCCGCTCGATTGCGAAGTGCGTTAGAGACTGGCAGTGGAAGCATGAATTACAAGGGTATGTGGAGCGGCGCAGATGGAATCCTCACATTTGACAATATTCAATACCTTTTGCGCTTCATGATTGACACTGGGCTGGCTGGAATGGCTTGGGTCGAGGCGATGGCTGGGAAGTATCGTCTTCTTGGACAGAGTCAACGATTGTCCAACTGCCAAATCGAAGCTTCCGTCGACTATCACGACATGATAGCTCATCCACCAAATGGCGAATGGGCTAAAATGGCACCTCTTCGCGTCCTCTCCTTTGACATCGAATGTGCCGGACGGAAAGGTATCTTCCCGGAGCCTAACATGGACCCTGTCATCCAAATCGCCAACGTTGTTACCCGATACGGAGAGACGAAGCCATTCATCAGAAACGTATTTGTCCTTGATACCTGCAGTCTGATCGTCAACACCCAAATCTTGGAATTTGAAAAGGAAGAGAAGATGCTCGACGCCTGGCGCGATTTCGTGGAAAAGGTGGACCCTGACGTTATCATCGGATACAACATTGCCAACTTCGATTTCCCATACTTACTTGACCGCGCCAAGCACTTGAAATGCACTGGGTTCCCTTATTGGACCAGATTGAAAGGTTTTAAGACAGAGGCCAAAGATGCAAATTTTTCGAGCAAGCAAATGGGCAATCGGGACACGAAAGCGACAAATACAAACGGCAGAATTCAACTTGATCTTCTCCAATTGGTTCAGAGAGATCATCAGTTGAGAAGTTACACCCTTAATTCCGTGTCTTACGAGTTTTTGAAGGAGCAAAAAGAAGACGTTCACCACACGATGATTACTGAGCTGTTCAACGGTACTCCGGATTCGAGACGACGACTCGCAGTGTACTGCCTGAAAGATGCTTATCTGCCACAACGGTTAATGGAAAAATTGATGTGTCTGGTCAACTACACAGAGATGGCAAGAGTCACGGGTGTGCCGTTTAATTTCCTCTTGTCTCGAGGACAACAAGTCAAGTTCATCAGTCAACTGTTCCGGAAAGCCCGAGAGCAGCAACTCGTTATTCCCAATTCCAAGCCTCAGGACGAGCAGGATTACGAAGGTGCCACTGTCATCGAGCCAAAGCGAGGATACTATGGAGTGCCTGTTGCAACCCTCGATTTCGCATCACTGTACCCCTCGATCATTCAAGCACACAACCTCTGCTACACGACCTTGCTCAACAAGAGCAGCGTTGAAAAGTTGAACCTGAAGAAGGATGAGGATTACATCGTCACTCCAAATGGAGACATGTTTTGCACAACCAAAGTTCGCAAAGGCCTTTTGTCCCAGATTCTCGAAGAGTTGTTGTCGGCAAGGAAGCGCGCGAAGAAGGAGTTGGCTACCGAGACCGATTCTTTCAAAAAGGCAGTGCTAAACGGTCGTCAACTCGCTTTGAAGATCAGCGCAAACAGTGTCTACGGCCTGACAGGTGCCACAGTGGGTAAACTGCCTTGTCTTCCCATTGCTAGTAGTACGACGAGTTACGGCCGTCAGATGATTGAGAAGACAAAGCAAGAGGTAGAAGCACGCTACACCATCGCCAACGGTTACTCTCATGATGCTGAAGTCATATACGGTGACACCGATTCCGTCATGGTCAAATTCGGCGTTACTGAACTGGCAGATGCGATGAAGCTTGGCCAAGAAGCAGCAGACTTTGTCTCTTCTAAGTTCATCACGCCCATCAAGCTTGAGTTCGAGAAAGTATACTTCCCTTATCTTTTGATCAACAAGAAGCGATATGCTGGACTGTACTGGACGAACCCCGACAAACATGACAAGATGGACACGAAGGGTATTGAGACAGTCCGACGCGATAACTGCCTCATGGTTCAAAATGTCATTGAAACCGTGCTGAACAAAATTCTGATTGACCGAGATATTGATGGCGCGCAAGAGTAAGTTGATTATCCCTCAAATCAAGCTGTCAGAAACTAACATAATATCTAGCTACGTCAAAGCCACCATTTCAGATCTGCTCCAAAATAAGATCGATATGTCCAAACTAGTCATCACAAAAGCGCTTTCGAAACGCAAAGAGGACTATGCAGGCAAACAGGCACACGTCGAACTTGCTGAGCGCATGCACAAGCGTGACGCTGGTTCTGCGCCAACTCTTGGTGATCGTGTGGCCTACGTCATGATCAAGGGTTCCACTGATTCCAAGGGATATGAACGAGCAGAAGATCCCATCTTCGTTCTGGAAAACAACATTCCCATCGACACTAAGTACTACCTTGATAACCAGCTTACAAACCCACTAAACCGTATCTTCGAACCCATCTTGGGTGAGAAGAAGGCAGGTCAGTTGCTCACTGGCGAGCACACACGGTCTATCACCAAAGCGGCGTCGAACTTGGGCGGACTGATGAAGTTCGCCAAGAAAACCCAGACCTGCATGGGCTGCAAGAAACCCCTTTCCAGCAAGGACGAGATGGAGGGTGCCGTCTGCTCGAACTGCCGTCCCCGTCTTGGCGAACTTTACACAAAAACCCTCACCAAGGTCTCCGATCTAGAGGTCCGATTCGGGCGCCTGTGGACTCAGTGCCAGCGGTGCCAGGGTAGTCTTCACTGTGAGGTCATCTGCTCATCCCGCGACTGTCCGATTTTCTACATGCGCATGAAAGCAAAGAAAGATGTGGAAGATTCACAGAAAGATCTGTCCCGATTCGACTTTGACGCTGGTGCTTGGTAAAGAGAGCATTTTCCATTGTATGACTTATTGGTTTTCTTGAATAGCTGGCTTTTTTGGTGACGGTCACGAGCATGGTTGAATGGCGTTGGAGGTTGAAAATACTGTACAATGAGATCGAAATAATAACAAGAGGATATGGTCACCTTCAAGTGGCTCGCTTCTTTTTGCATCTTTTCCCAAGTTTCTCGGATCAGCCCTTGAAGTTACTCGCAAGATCTGGTGAGACTATATGAGTGGAAATACGACCGATAATAGGGCCAATACACAAACGACAGACAATAGGGACAATAGAACCCGGACTGAAATAATCGGATTGAATAACAAACTCCAAAGTAAATATCTAAGTAAATTAGTAGATATCTTTTACTGTTTCTCTCCGTCGTGAACTTAACCTTGCAAAGCCCGGAAGCGCGTCATCCGCGAAGCCGAACTCTTGGCGTGGAGTAACTGCCGATCTTCAATTTCACCATGATTTCCAAGTCTAAACCCGCCATGAATCCTACGGTGGAGGATGAAGTCGATGGTTCCCGCGCCAATCCAAAGGCTACCTCAAAGGGCAATCCCAATGCAAATGACACAGTCCCTTGGTCGGAGGTATGTTTTGTTTGCGCAAGGCGCGAACTGAAAATATGGACGTTTTGAGGCGAACTGTGACTGACCGGCTGTTTCTTTGCGACCAGATTTTCTCCCGTCATGAGGCCGTCCTCTGCTCTCATCTCGAAATGCTAAGCATGGTGAAGGCGCATATTGCACCGGAGACCAATGGCTTCCAGACCGTTTCATCAATGGTGAACAAAACAGTACTAGCGATGAACCAGCTGAAGATAGCTCGAAAACATATGGTGAGTAGTGTGCTCAATTCCCTTTTGCCTGATCCCATCACTGACTGTTCGTTCTTTAGATGAGCAGTAAGTCCCACCACACTCCTACCCCGAATCAAGAGAGCAACATACCCCACCCTTTACCAAGCAGTAAAGACAGGAATTGACACGACAGCCTTAGGAAACGCTACACCCCCATCCTCCAGTTCCTCCAGTTTCTCCAGTTCCTCAAACCCCACTCAGTCCACTGACACAGAGGCCAATACTCGCAAGAAAAGACGCAGAATCTCTCGGGACAATGACACAGCTCGTCCTGACCCCACGGACGAAATACGAGCCCCTAAACGATACCGTGACTCTTCCCCCCAGCCAAAAACCGAGCAAGATGGACAGTTCATGTCCACCTCACTTGGAACAGAGGATATCTCAGCAGAGGTACAGCGACGGCTGAAAATCAAAGAGGAGCAACGTCTAAAAAAGGAAAACCCCAAGGCGGATAAACGCAAGCGCGACAGTCTCGCGTCGAATGAAGGTGAATCACCCATTGCAAGCAGGCCTCGGAAGAAACGGCTTAAGCTGGAGAATGGGAATAAGAGACATGGTGATTCGGTGGACAATGAGGCAGATTCTCAGAAAAAGAAACGACGCAAAACGCCTTAAAAAGAAAGAATTTGAAGGAGACCATGAGCGATGCTGGTCCATTGCTCGGTTTTATTTTTGCTTCTATCGGGGGTTGTGGTTTGTGGATTCTAAGATTCCGGGAAGAGGCAGCGATGCTTGCATTGAGCGACAGTTCCGACAGTTCTTACTGAAGATATTCTTAGAAATTATAACTACTCGGTCACAGTTACTATTTACTGTCCTGCAGATCCATATCTAGTTAGAGGTTATATCAAGAAGTTACAACCACTTGTAGGTAGCTTCTTCTGGCGTTAAGTTTAATGACATATGCAGATCGTGATAGTTCATTCTAGCTATAGCACCAATAAAGGCATGGCAATCTGTAAATATAAATGGTATCTGAGGAAATATCTGAGAAGGGCATATGGAAGACAACTAAGAAAGACAAGACTATTAAAAGGACTACCAACACAAACATAACAAGACCGTATCAGCTGCTAACTATTCTCATATACTACCTAGATATAAGTCTAGTGGGAAGGCAGAGGACTAAGGTGGTGAAGGCCATGGGCCGGTTAGGCCGGTTGTCGTGATTGTCCCTAAAAGCCCTCGTACTGTCTGTTCGTGTTGGAAAGACTATCATTACTATATCTACGTACAATACATCTATTTGAACAAGCTGCAATTGGTTTACAATGTCTAAAGAATTCAGTGTATACCTAGCAAAACGTACATATGTATAAGTGATACTTCATGTGGTAAGAACGTCGCCTATCTCGAAGGATCGTCTTTCAGCTTCATAGTTCCCCTATTTACAGTCAGTCTAAGATACCTACAAGCGTACAGAAAATGAAATCCAAGTGGAGAATAATATTTCTTCATTTCAAAATACGTCCAAGGTGTTCCCAAAACCAAGAGACTCTCCACGACCATGGCATCGCGAGAGACTCCTTGATTGAGGACGGTACATGACATATCTCTCCGGAATTTCCCATCTGGAAAGCCGTGAGACCCTCAACGACCATGGCATCGCGAGAGACTCCGACTCCCAAGCCAACCAAATTCAGTACATTAAAATTCTCTTATATCCAGATATATCCCATCTGGAAAGCTGCGAGACTCTCAACGACCATGGCATCGCGAAAGATTCCCAAGCCAACCAAATTCAGAACATGAGAAAGATTCTCTCATATCCAATATCAAAACCCAAGTATATCGCTCACAGAAATAAATAAATCGAAAACGCCCAAAAAAAAGATGGTATCAAATGGCAAGACCCCCCATTCGAGCCGTGAGGTGAAGGCGAGTAGCTTTTTCTTCTGACTTTCATGCTGATTTTGATGATGTGTTGACGTTCACGGTTGGATGATGTTGATGATGATGATGTTGTCTTCACCCCGACGGGGCCATGGGAAAACCCGGCCAAACCCGTTTTTGGTGCCGGTAAAAACCATAGCCGGGACTGCACCTCTAGGTACAAGTTCCTTTATTTCATTCCTCCATTGCACATCTACCGATACTGGATCAGGGAGAGGTAGTGCATCGGGCATCTCGATGTCATTCTGAATTCAATGTTAGCAACTGGTCCGTACAAAATGGATGTGGATGCGGATTATCAACTTACTGGCTCATCGGATGGTGCATCAGCCATCTCAACGTCGACGTTGGAATTTTGGGCATGCTGGGTGTGTTGTTTTCGATTGGAGTTCTTCCCCCTGCGGTTGGGGTCGAAGTTCTTGCCCTTATAGTTAGGGTTGAAGGATGGTGCCTCGGCCATCTCAACGTCGACGTTGGGATTCTGGGCATGCTGGGTGTGTTGCTTTCGGTTGAAGTTCTTCCCCCTGTGGTTGACGCCGGAGTACTCGCCCTTGTGGATGTGGTTGCCGTTGCCCTGCTGGCCTTTGCTGTTCTTCCCCCTGTGGTTGGGGTCGAAGTTCTTGCCCTTATAGTTAGGGTTGAAGGATGGTGCCTCGGCCATCTCAACGTCGACATTGGGATTTTGGGCATGCTGGGTGTGTTGCTTTCGGTTGAAGTTCTTCCCCCTGTGGTTGGGGTCGAAATTTTTGCCTTTGTAGTTGTGATTGCGGTTGCCATCGCCCCGCTGGCCATTGCCATTGCGAGGGCCGTGGCCCGTTTCTCCGGAAAATCGTCTTGCAAGCATGGTCATTCGATTGAACTTCCAAAAGCCGGATTTCAACTTGTAAGATGAGTGCGAGCACCTCTGTTTTTGGCTTGTTTTTTTTCCCTCGGCGTGGGCTTGTTCTTCTCGACCCGTGTGGATTTGTGGACAATTTGTCTTGTGGACTTTTTGGGGAGGAATTGGTTTTTTTTTCCTTTCTATATTTTTGGTTTTGCCTCAGCTGGGAATACTTCGCCTCAAGAGGCCGGTAACTCTCTCCAAGTCCGACGATTAAAGACAACTCCCTGACCCTCGTAACTTGAGGTGGTTTGCTTTTGTGGTTTGTGGTTTGCGGCTTGATTTTTGATATCTTGATATGTCGATGACCCCAGGCAGAGGGGTGAAGAAGGAAAGAAAAAAGAGGAGTCGAGGGCGGGCTGAGGCAGTTTATAATACTAAGGAGATACGCTACTAAGCCAATCTAGGGACTTCCGACAATATAGTTATTGGTTTCCTTGGATTTATAGAAGGTAATGTCTAAATAAGGGCAAGTTGATATTTCATCGTACTGGTTCCCATGATATATTGGGGGGGGGGGGGGGGGGGGGCGGGCC